GCCTGCGTGAGTGCTGGGCCGGGCGGCCGGGTCTGGCTCTGGCACGGGGGACCCCTCTCCTGGCCGGGCCACCTCACACCCGCTCCTGTGCCCACAGCTCTCAGCTCAGCCCGCAGCAAGGCCCCGGCCCCGAGGCCGCCTCCGCCACTGGCTGCACCGGCTGCGGGAGGCGCAGAAGAAGGTGAGTGACTCAGAAGGCACAGGAGGCCTGTGCCGGTGAGGGAGGTGGGGCGCGGCATGGAATCCGACTCTCATCTCTCCCACAGGAGTCCCCAGAGTGCCTGCAGGCATCTGTCACCTTCCACCTCTTCCACCTCGTACAAGATCTAAACTGTGTCGCCAGTGGAGACCAGTGTGCCTGAGAACCTGGGCCCCTAGTCCGCCTGCAACCCCAGACCTTATTTATGCACTAAGCCCCGTCCAGCCTTAAGTTATTTCCCTCACCCTGTATTTATGGATGGATCTGTACCTCTCTGACCCAAACAAAGGTTTATTTTTCTACTTTTATACAATTTGCACAAATAAACAACAAGCAATTGCGCCTTTCTGTGACAGGTGAATCTTTGACAGGTGTGTGTGTACAGTTGTGAGTTGTGACCGAGTGCGGATGTCTGTGGTGTGGGCGAAGTCCTTCGCAGGGTGTGTGTTGTGTGCCTGACCTGAGTCTCGCTGCAGGTGCGTCTGGGGCATTCCCGTGGCCTCGTGTGTCCTGCAGCTGTATATGATGTCGCGTGAACTGCACATGTGTATTTTCTTTGTATGGCCATGCATCACTTGATGACAGTACATCCTGAAAAATGCGTGACGGCACTTTTGTCACGCAAAAAGGTTTTTTACAAAGGTTGAAGAGTGCAATTCCCCAAACCTAGAAAGTAGAGCCTCCCACACACCTAGGCCAGGTGAAGGAATGCCCACAGCCCGTCCTTGCCTGAGAGGCCCTGTGCAGCTCCTGACTTGGACATCAAGGATAGATGGGCTTCTGAATCAACCAGGAGGTGTTATCCTGCAATAATAATCAGAAACTCAACTCAAACAGGTAAAACAAAATATTTATCAAGAAAAAGTCAGTAATCAGGACAGTTCTACAACTGGTTCATTATTCATTAATTCATTTATGGACTCAGCAATGTGAGAGGCAGGTCCTTGCCATTTCTGTTGACTGATTCTTTTTTCTAATTTGTGCATACAGAACTGGGGTACAGGCCAGAGGTGCAGGGGTGGCGAGAGGCTTCACCAGAGACAGAGTGGGGGGCAGAACAGGCTGACTGACGAAGTGCACTGCTGAGGGGAGCAGCGGACGGGTCAGGAGAGGTCTGCCGCGCCATGTGGGTCACCTCTGGGGCGGGGATCGAACTTGCATTAAAGCGGCTGTGGCCAGTTTGCAGTGCTGTGTCCTAAAGTCCTAACCCATTGCAACCCTCTGTTGACTAATTCTTATTCCACTACCTCATGGTCTCAAGACAGCAGCTCCAGCTGTCACACACAGAACATCACCCCAAAGCACTACAAGCCAGCTGGATTGCATGCAGGTAAACAGCAGGTAAACCAACTCACTATGCTCCCGCATTCTGTGGGTCGCTTGGTTGGACAGGTATGGAGCCTCCCTCCCCCCCCCACAACGTGGGACTTTGCTTCTCCTTCAGCAGCTCTTAAAAGCCAGGAAAATGAGTTCAGAGAACTCATACTAGGGGCTCTCTGATGGCGCAACCTGTTAAAGCGCAGCGCTTTGAAGCTGTCTGCAGCCACTATGGCTCACGTTCAATCCCCGGCCAAGGAGTGGCCCACAGGGCGCAGCAGACCTCTCCTGTCTCCCCGTTGCAGTGTATTTCAGTCAACCTGCCTGTTCTGCTGTCTCTGGTGCATCCTCTCACTCCTCACACCTCTGGTCTGTACCCCAGTTCTTGCATGCATAGATAATAAATAAATATTAAAAAAAAAAAAAGAAGGAAGAAAGAAAGAAACTCCCTGTTAGAGGAAAGGCGCTGGCTCAAATTCAGCCCAGCCAAGTCTAAGCCAGTCACTGGCCAGGAAGATGTCATCCCAAAGGTCAGTCAAACTTACCAAGGTTCACCCCTGAGGCTGGCAAGGATCCCATTTCCTGAAAAAAATATGTTTGCAGGTAGGTGCTGAAAGATACCCAGGGCGCAGCCTGAAATGGCACACGTGGGTATCCACGCAGGGCTGATACCCAGTGGGTCTCCAGTGGGTGGTGCTGCTTCAGCTGTTAAGTATTGAAATGCTTTTATACCTGTTTGGCAAAGTGCTAATAGCCAGAGAAATCCCTCAATTCAGGAACAAAAGAATTAGCACTTTATTGGGGATGTGGGTAAGCCGGGATCAGCTCCAAGAACTGCCCAGCTCGCCTTCCAGCAGTGCTCCTAGCTGCGTCCCGGCACCCCAGCCAGCTCAGAATGGTCAGTGTGGATTCAGAGTGTCTGGGCCTCCCTGATGGCGCAGGGGTTAGGTCTCAGCACTTAGCATCGCTGGCCAGGACCCCCAGGGCGCGGCAGACCTCTCCTGTCCCCGCTGCTCCCCTCAGCAGTGGATTTCAGTGGATCTGTTTATTCTGTTCCCTACTCTGTCTCTGATGAATCCTCTCACCTTCTCACCCCTCTGGCCCACACCCCATAATGACCTATACCCCAGCTCTTCTATTTATATATACATAAATAAATCTTAAAAAAAAAAAAGTGGCCATAGGTTCTGACATACCCCAAGAGGCAAAGTGGTATTCCCCTCTCCTTGAACCCAGGCTTGACTTCTTCAACCCAGAGAGCAGAGGAGGTCAGGCGCACAGAGGGACTTCCACACCACTCCCTCTGGCTCTCTGGGAAAGCATCATCTCCACATGGCCTCTTGCAATGTGCGCTCCATGGTGCAAGAAATTCCAGCCACATGAGAGGCCACATGGGCACTCCCCTGTGGACAGTCCCAGCAGAGCCCAGGAACTACAGAGCTCAGTTTTGCAGTCAACTCAGTTCAGACGTGTGAGTGAAGAAGTGTCCAGAAGGTTCCCACCCCCCCCCCCCCCCCCGCTGCATCCACACAATCTGGATTCATCATGAAATCATTTCTTTTGTTTGATGCCACTAAGTTTGGTTCTTGTGTGAAGCGCTAGGTCACCGGGACCTGGTGGCAGCCGCCGGCCCATCATAAGCCACTGGGGACACGCGTCACAGGAAACGTGCTACCCAGCGGAGGCCCTAGAGGTTCTGAGTGACTTGAGTTGGGGGCACATGACAAGAGTTTCAGAGTCATTTCCATCATCTCCACTCACTCCCTTGTGGCCGCCCACTGCCTCCTCCAGCCTGTCAGTGACCAGACAGTGTCCAGGGGCGAGGGAGGACGCGAGGTGCCCAAGCCGGAGTATGAGTTCCTTTTCCCCTCACCCAACACCAGGTGCCCAGAAGCTGCTTTCAGAAGACTAAGGAGCTTTTTAAATTCATTTATGTAAAGAATGGAAAACAGTTCTTGGCATAGGTTCAGGCCCATATATGTGTTGTGTTCCCTGCTATTATTGTTACTATTTTAGAATTTTTTTCTTCCATGACATGACTTATCCCTTCCTGGTTCATTGGGATGAGGATGTGAGACGTGGAGCTGTGGTGGCCATGTTGTGAGCATGGAGCAACAAGCTCAGAGTATGAAGTTCTCCTTCTAGGAAAGGTGGAACAAAAGAACAAAACTGCGTCCTTGGTGGGTTGAATCCTTAATAAGCTGTTGCACCAAACCCCAAAGCCCCTAACTCCTGAATTCGCGTAGTTTTTTATTTCTTGCAGCCAAATGTACTCTCGTAAATCTGTGTCTGTCCACCACACAACCCAGAGGAGGTGGTTTATTCTTTTCCAGTAATAAAAGTTTGAATCACATGCAGGTCAGATTTCAGGACCCGCTTCCGTGTGAGTGAAGTAGCTTGCAACCTCTGCTCAAGGCAAGAAAAACAAAAGGAATTTGTGTGCTGTTTTGTTTTCACCTCTCCGGCACCCATGTCCCCTGGCAAGGCGCCTCTATGTTCCTTTGGGGGTGAGCCCCGTGCCGACCTGCGTCCCACTGGACACGTGACTGGATTGCTCGTGGGGGCGCAAGGACGAGCCTCCCCTGCCCTCCCCTTCATAGCCTTGCACCGCTGCTGCCCTTGCAGGGAAGGACGCCACGGTCACTGCACCCGCCTCATTCCCACTCATCCCCGCGTCTCAGCAAGTATCACCGCCCCCAGAGTGCTCCTGAGCGGTACACTGGGGTTTCCGTTGCTGTTACAGCCCTGCCAGACTTTCGCATCCTACCTTTTTGGTGACTGTTTAGGTTCAACCACATGAAATTGCCCATGTTCTATGCCTGCTGACCTAAAAAACTGGCCATTTCGTGTAGTTCAACCTAACCTCTTAGCTGTCTCCCCCCCCCCCAGTGCCATGTGACCCGAACACATACCCCCAGCCTGGCCAACAAATGGAATACCAGTGAAGCTTCCCGTTCTCTGGGATGCCATGTGGGTGCAGAGAGGGCATGTGACCCACCCCACCAGTGGGAGCCCTTCCCTGGGGCTTCTTCACTTAGGCCTGGGGGAGATTGGGGACCCGGTAAAGGAGCTGCAAGGGCCAACTCATGCCATTTCACCCATTTGGCAAGTGGAAAGGGGTGAATCTGAGCTGAAATAAGCAAAGCAGCGAGTGGGAAGAATGTCTTGGAGTGGAGTCAGGGTGCCAGTCTGAGGCCACGCTCTGGGGAACTTCACCATTGTCTCGCTTGCACCCACACCAGCAGCAACTGCCTGCTTTTTATGCCCAAGCCACTTAGCTGAGCTCCTGTCACTGGCTACTGGGAGAGTCTGGCTAATGCCCACCCTGAGCTTCCTGCACTTCCAGTGGAGTCAGGCAGCCCCTCGCTCCCAGTCTCCTGTGCCATCTGCCTGAAGCCAGGAGGGCAGGGGCCGTCTGTCCTGTCACTGCTTCCGCCGTTCTCCCGACACTAGTCACTCCTGGCTTGAGAATAGAAGCTCCTCAGGGCAGGGGGTTCTTTTTTGCATTGTGCACACTGCTGAATCCTGTGCTCTGGAGTGCAGGAGAGAATCAGACAATGGTTAGGTGCACAGGACTGGGAGGGCGGCAGCTTGATGGGCTGTGTGAACTTGGGTGGGCACCTTAGCCTCTCTGAACTTGCTTCCTGACCTGGAAAGGTGGGCGCAGAGGTTTGAACGTGGCCGCGGGGTGTAAATGCAGTCATGCTTACTATTTGAGTAACTCCATTTTGTTTTAGACACAAGGGCTGGGCTGCGTGTTCTCTGTTCGTGCACAGGGAGGGTTTGTAAGCACAGGGCCTAGCGTGTGGGAAGCCCTCAGTACCGGGAGTCGTGATGACTGCCTGGGAAGTGTGGCTGGGCCGCTGGGTGAGGGAGCCGCAGGCCTGTGGGCCTGTGATTCTCCAGGCCTGTCCTGCGCCTCCCACCAGAGCTGCCCAGCTCCATCCCCCTCCCTCCTGCTGGTTTCTATTTCTGTCTCTCTCTCCTCCTCCATGGCCTCAGGGGGCCCCTAGCTGGTTGGAAGCCTTCTTCCTTCTTCCCCAGGATCTGCAGGGACCCCTGCAATGGCTTTGGCACCCCCTCCACCAACTTCCACTACCTGTCCACAAGCCTGTGTCTCACCGGGAGGCTCCTCTCCCCACACCTTCCTTCAGGCTCACAGCCAACCCCTTCTGTACTTAGGCTCTTGGGTGGAGACCAGACAGTGACCTGAGTGGTTCTCAGTCTGCTCTGGAGACCCATGCTCAGCTAACTAAGCCGTGCCCCCCCCCACCCCCCAACTTCAGACACCAGAGCAAGGGCATGTGGCAGTGAGGGGCAGACCCCAGGGTGTTTACCGGCTTCCTTGCTGCTGCGCTTAGGGGGCTTGGGCGAGCGACTTTAAGGGTGTCCGCTTGAGAACCCTGTCTACAAAATGGGACCAAAGATGTTTCCTTCACAGAGTTGTCTGGCCTCAGAGATGAGCTGTGCTTAACACAATGCCTGTCTGTGAAAGAACAGTCGCTCGCGGCTCAGCTGCTCACGCTCAGCCGCTCAGCCGGGCCAGGCTGCTCTGGGAAGGCAGCTGGCCTACCTTTTTAAACCCCACTTGGCGACCTTAGGTATCACAAGCCTCACCTGTAAAGTGGGATAACAGGTCTGATGGCCTAGGGCGGTTGTGAGGATTAAATATTTTAAGTGCTTGGCACATAGTAAGCACTCACTAAATGTTAGCTCTTATCATTTTATTTTTATTATTTCCCACCTGGTAAGTCTCTCCGAGGAGAGGAGCCGGTCTGCAAGTCTCCCTGGGCCCAGGCGGCGGCCTCCCTTCTCTCAGGAATCCTTACACCAGAATCTAGGTCGCCCTCCCCTCCCCCACCCAAACACACGGACACACACAGAGGTCAGCGGAGCGGCCTCGGACACAGAAAAAAGTTTAATTCTGCTGCGGCGGAGGGTCCCGGCTCCGGCAGGGAGGGGGATTTGGTTTTGGATTTGTTCATGTGGGGCTTCATTGGAGGAAAAAGGAAGGAGTCGGGGTGAGTCTGGTCCTTCCGGTGGGACCTGCCCGGGACAGTGTGTAGTGGGGAGAGGTAATCTCCAGAGACGGGGAGACTGGACGAAACACGGGAGGGCGACAGGGAAGACACGCTACAGAGGCAGGAGAGACGTGTAGGGAAGGACGGAGACGGAAGACACGACAGAGGGCGAGACAGGAACGAACGAGGGGACCAGGGAAAGGGGGACCCCCAAGCCGGACCCGACGGGACCGAAGAGGTGAATGGGGTGGGGTTGGGGGCTTTGGAGGCCGCCGCGGGACAGAATAGGATCTAGTCCAGCCAGATACAAGAAATGGGCCCCTCGCCCCTGCCCCGGGTCCCGGGCGGGGGGAGAGGGCTCGTGTCTCAGTGCTGCAGTGTCGGGGGGGCCCTGCCCCTCCCCGCGCTTCGCTGTGTAAGGCACCGGCTCCAGCGAGGTCCGCGAGCGCGCGAGGGGAGGGGCAGGAGTTCGTGGGGGAGGGGAGCCCGGCGCCGCCCCCTGCTCCTCTGGGCGCGGGAGGTGGCCGGCAGCCCCGCCCGCCCCGGGGAGAGGGGTGCGTCTCCCCGGGAGTCGGAGGTCTAGGCGGGCGTTGGCGCCCTTGAGTCCCGCCCGGCGTGCGGGCGCGTCCGGGCGGCTGGGCCTCGGTCCTCGGCACCCAGGCGTCCCGCCGCCGCCCGCGCTCACACGGTACTCTCCAGCATCCACTCGGTGCTGGTGAAGGCCAGGCGCGCCCTGGCGGAGCCCAGCCCCAGGTCTCCGTCCTCCCCGGCCGCGCCCCCTCCGGCCTCGTCCAGATGCGGCGTGGACCGGTGGCGCTTTGTCCGGCGGGCGCGGCGCGGGTAACTGTGGCTCTGGAAGAGCGCCCCGTAGTCCCCGTCGAAGGAATAGCGCTGCTGCGGCCGGGGCCGGGCCGAGGCCCCCCCAGGAACCAGGGCTAGAGTTGGGGGCGCGGAGGCTGGCGGCCCCAGGGCTCCGGAACGGCTCCTCCGAGGGCCGGACGCCGCCCGAGGCTCCTCCCCGGAGGTCTCCTCCGACGGCAGCAGGCACAGCGAGGTGGCCGAGCCGCCCAGGGAGCGTCCAAGGGCCGCCTCCGGCCCCGCAGAGGCCATTTCGGCCGCCGTGCCCTTGCCCTGGACGGCCACCGCCGCAGCGGCCGGCGACACCACCTCTCGCAGCGCCTCGTAGCGGTCCGGCGCGGGGGCCGGCGCCCCGGCCCCGTTGGTCTGCGAGCACACGTGGCTGACCCGCGGGGGCGAGCGGGAGGCGCCCTTGACGCGCCGGGCGTCGCCGTCGCCGTAGACCTTGTAGCGGATCATGAGCAGAACGATGAAGACGAGGACCGAAGCGACTATGACGCCCCCGATGGCGATGATCATGGTGCCGCCCAGGAAGTGGGCCCTCAGAGGACGGCAGGGCGCCGGGTCCCCCGCGGTGGTGAACTGCACGCAGCCCACCACTCGCGTGGCCGGCAGCGCGGTCGCCCCGTCGTCGTACACGGCCAGCACGCACAGGTCGTAGGCGCGGCCCGCCGCCAGGTCGTTCACCAGGAAGGTCTGGCTGGTGGATGGGATCATCCTGCGGGAGGGGCGCAGGGGCGGGGTTAGCTCCACTCGGAGACGCGGCCCTGCCCTCGCGTGTCCTGGGCGCCAACTCAACTGTGTTCCCACCGTTATCTCGCCCCCTAGCGGACAGCCGCGGACATGCACGCGGCCATTCCTACCCTCAGGGCCCTGGCTTCACACGACACCCCTCTTCCGTGTGCCCCCCTCCAGACCCACCTCCTGCCTTTCCCATCACTTACTAGAACGTCTGCATTCACGTTCCCTAGGGGCTTTTATGCCCTTAAGGGACGTCCCCCAGCAGGGGACGCCTAGGTTCATGCTGTCTGCTACGTGCACTTCCGCCCATTTCAGGACGCAACACACCGCACCCCCGTAGACCCAGCCCCTCACGCCAGTGGGCACAGGTGAACGCCCCCACCCCGCCTTAGGTCTGCTGGGACGATGGATGTGCTCCCGGTTCTGTCGTACGGCCTTGCCCTTACAAAGTGGCAGCCAAGACACAGATGGTCCCCTCATCTGCTTGCTGCACCTTTGGGTGAATGCCTCTCCTTGCTGCAGCTGCCTTCCGGAGTGATTTCTAAGCCCCTGGACTACAAAACCCCACCCACTGTGGGGTCATGGCTAAAGGCCACTCCCCTCCTGGGGGGGCCACTCCCCTCTTGGGGGGGGGCTGGTAGCATCACAGCCACACCCCCATAAGGACCTGCTGGAGGTTCCCCAACTGCTCCCAGGTCCATGTCTACTCTATGTCCTGCTCCTTGTCCAGACATCAGAGGCCACCAATCCACATGCGCGCCCTACCCTAGGCTGCCTGAAATCATACCTCCAGGTCAGTCTCCGTCATTGAGCCATGCAACTGTAGCCAGGCTAGCGGTCCTCTTCTTGCTAGAGGTCCCTGGGCTCACTGAGGGGCAGTGGCGACTGTGGTTCAACTGACCATGTCTGGAAGCCAGACAGCTTGACTTTGAGCTTCTCTTCTCTGTTTGCTAGCTCTGTGACCTTCGGTAAGTTTCCTAACCTCTCTGTGCCTCCTTTCCCCTCACAGGGGAAGATTAAGGCCCCCTGCATCACAGAGCTGTGGAGTAGGGATGCGTTACCCAAAGGCTGGCGTTTACTACTTCATTATCAGCTTGTAGTGCGCCCAGTGCAGCCTGGCTGGGACTAACATGCTCCTGCTGCTTGAACTGCCACTCCACCCCCCCACCCCCTGGTGTGTAAGATCATCCCCACCAGGCCCAGCGCTCCTCTGTGGGCACATCCCTTCTACGTTGGCTGTGTGCAGCCCTAGCTAACCTGGGGCTGCCATTTCCACACGGGTGAGCATGCCCAGCACTCCAGCGCACACGCTCTGCTCTTCTGCCAAGCTCTTAGTGGGTCACCAGAGGCAAGGACTGCCTCATCGTCAGCTTGGGGCGTGCAGCAGGAGCCCCGCCTCCTAGAGGGCACACCCTCCTCCCTACAGGCCTCTGAGCTCCCAGAAGCCTCACCTTCCCTCCCACCAGGCCACCTTCTGGTCCTGAAGCCCACCTCCAAGAGCCACCGTCCAACCAAAGCGGTCACTTACAGCCCCACCCCCTCGTAAAGGCCCACCTACCTCTGACTACCCCCCCAGCCCCCCACACCAGAGCACTGCCACCCACCCACCCATCCCACCCTAGGCACACTCTTCCTCCCAGCTTCCCTTTGAGAAAGCCTAGGCTTCCTCTTGCTCCCTCCCCCTAATAACCAGTTGCTAGGGATCCCCCTTTTCAAGGACAGAGGCTGGCTCCTTAAGAAAGCTCCAGCCCATGTGTCTCTCATTGGCTGCAGGCCCCAGGCAAGAGACAGAGCAGCCTTCTGGTTGGATGTCCCCTCCGCCCCGTGGCAGCAGTGAGGAGTTAACCCCTGCAGCGCCACAGCTCAGGAGGTGCAGTGGGGGATGGAGGAAGGGAAGAGACTGGGGGCTGTTGCCAGCAGACAGTACCTGAGCCTCAGCATCTGAGGCTCTCAGGCCCTCCCCAACATGTAGTCGCCCAGGGTTAGAGAGAGAAGGAAAGACAGAAACAGGTGGAAAGTCACTGAACCCAAGAGTTATCTCTAGAAGCATCTTAACCATGTCCCCTCATCCCTGCCAGGCCAACAGTAGGTGCTAATGTGTGGGTGTTCAGTCTAAAAGGGGGCAGGATTAGGGGTTTGAGGGTAAAGAACTGCAGTCCTGTTTCTGCCATTTTCTGTGACCTTGAGCGAGACTTCCCCCACTGAACCTCAGTTTCCTTGTCTGTAAAATGGGAGGGAGGAGGACTGTTGTTGCTTCATAGCGGAGTTGGGAAGAGCTAGTGAGGGGGGCACCCTTGGGAGTACCTTGGGAGGGTTTTTGTTTGGTTCACGTGTTCGCCATGATTTCGCAAGGCTAGGCCACTGTCTCATCTAGCGCAGAAGGTTAGGGCCCAGCCTGGACTCAGGCACGCTGCTGAGCATGGAAATGAGAAGAAAATGAGGCTGACAAAGACTAGGCCGAAGAGCGGCAGGTTCTCCTCCAGAGGGACAGAGGGACGCGCCTCCCGTGTGCCCGCCTGTGGTCAAGGGCACGCGGGAAACGGGGCGATGGAGGCCAAGAGGCAGGTTCTTTCAGGTCTGAGAGACCCCAAGAACTGGGATTCCCTGCAGGTAGGGAAATGGCTCCGCCCTCTCTGGCACCCCAAGTGAAGTCACGCACAGGCGTAAGCATTCAGCAGGTGCTCCATGGTGAGCAGGCAGGGGGCAGAGCCAGGGGGCAGGACCATTTGTCAAGCGCCCCCCAGTGCCGGGTGTGCGGCTGTGAGCCACACTCCAGAAGCGACTGCAGTGAACCAGGAGCTCAAGGCCACGGTCATAACTCAGCAGTAACCACCTGCCTGCCCGTGCTGGGCTGCGCGCTCCCTGAGGACAGGGCTGTCGGGGTCTCCTGGGCCCGTGTGCAGCTCAGCACCTGCTCACAGCAGCCCGGTGAGGGCAGTAGAGGGAAGGTAGCTGCGGAGATGGGGGGGCCGTGGAGATGGTGGGAGGGGCGTTCAATGTCTGGCTACCCCAGACCACTCTGCCACGACCTACATTTCCGCCTCTTTTCTGTCTTGTGTCTGTAATGTACCCAGTGGGTTGATACAGTAGGCCGGCAACTTATTTATAAGTATAACTGCACTGTAAATATATGCACGTTTCCCGCCCCAGATGTCAAACAGACCAGACACACAGTCGGACACCTCCAGCCGCGGCGAGGTAGACCAGGAGCCCCGGGACAGCTCATCCTGTCGGGCTCATGATGGCCCCCAGCACCAAGGAGGTGCTCCCGGAAGGAGAGACGGGACGCAACAGTGAGAGAAACGGGCCAGGAGGGGACCGGGCAAGGGAGGGCAGGAGACGCTGGTCTGCAGGCCCCGAGAGCCCCAGTGCGCCCCGGGAGCAGACAGCGGGAGGGCCCTGGCTCGGAGCAGGGCCTGGCCCACAGCACCCACCTGTAGACGAGGGAGTCGTCCGAGGAGCTGTTGTACTGCACCTGGTACATGCGGATGCCGGGCACCGGCCTCTGGGCCGGCCAGCGGATGAGCACGGAGTTCGACGTGAGCTCGGCCGCCACGAGCCGGCGCTCGGCGGCCGATTCGTTGGCACCGGGTCGGCCCGGGGTGGCGATGTCAGAGGAGCCGGGCTCGGTCAGCGGCGGCGGGGCGGCCGGCGGGGGCGCCATGAGCGGCAGCGGCACCACGCACACTTCCACGGGGGCGGTGGCCTCCCCGGCGGCATTAGAGGCGATGCAGGTGAAGGTGCCGCTGTCCCGCAGGGTGGTGATGGTCACCTCCAGCGTCCCGTCCCCCCGGACCCGGGTCCGGCTGGAGTTCCCCAGCAGCCGCCCATCCGGTGCCACCCAGTGCACCACCGGCTCGGGGTCCCCCACGGCGCGGCATCGCAGGCTGACCGCCTGGCCCTCCACCACCAGGGCCCGGCCGCCCGCCTGCCGCGTGATGAGCGGGGGCTCGCACAGGAACTCCTCCTCGGGGATGGACCAGAAGTAGCGGTCCGTGAGGTGCTCGGGCGTGGCGCACGTCTCCAGGTCGTCTTCCCTGGTCAGCCGCCGCAGCCAGAGCAGCTCGCAGTTGCAGTGCAGGGGGTTGCCGCCGAAGCTGACCGTGAGCGGCGTGGGGGGCTTGGGCCCGGGGCCTTGGGACCTCAGGAAGAGCCCGTCGGGGGGCAGTTTATGGAGGCGGTTGGAGGTCATGTCCAGGCGAACCAGTTTGTGGAGCTGCACGAAGGTGCCTTCGGCGATGTGGTCTATGAGATTGTGATCCAGCGTGAGGGTGTTCAAGTTCACCATCTGGCCCACCGCCTCCCACGGCAGGGCCTCCAGGTTGTTGTAGGACAGATCCAGGTCCTCCACGGTGGACAGGAAGGCGTCAAAGGCGGCCGACTCCACCCGGCGGATCTGGTTGTTGCCGAGAATCAGGTGGCGGAGGTTGCCCAAGCCCCGCAGCTGGTCCCCACGCACCTCGGCCAGGCGGTTGCTGTCCAGGTGCAGGGCCCGGAGCGCGCGGAGGTCGGCAAAGGCGCCGGCCGCCACCTGGCCGATGGTGTTGCGGGAGAGGGTGAGGTGCACCAAGCTGGTCATGTTGGCGAAGTCCCGGCGGCGGACGGCCGCGATGAAGTTGTCGGTGAGCCGCAGCTCCACCACGCGCCGGTCGATGGCCGGCGGCACAAAGAGCAGGCCGGTCTTGGCACACAGCATGGTCAGCGTGGGTGCCACATTCTGGCAGATGCAGCGGCCGGGGCAGGGCTGGCCGCGAGATGCCCCGGCCCAGAGAAGCAGCAGGAAGAGCGGGGCGGCGGGCGGCGGCGAGAGGAGCGCGCAGGAGGAGGAGCCGGGAGCCATGATGCTGTGAGCAGGCGGGGCCGGCGGGGTGTGAGGTCTGCAAGGGAAGGAGACCGGTCACCCAGAGGAGGGCCGGGGTGTCCGGCGGGCAGCCTGGCCCAGCCAGACCCCGCCCTTCCCAACCACCTAGTCCTGCAGGGCGGTGACAGCTGCCCTGTCACCAGCTGGCAGGTGCACGTTGTCAATGACCTGTTTCCTCCCGGTTGGTAAATGAGCAGTCCCACCCCAATGCCCCCCCTTTAGACCTCTCCTGGCCTCGCCCACAACAACCCAGCGCAGTGACATCCGACCCAGTCTGAGCCTTTCAGTACCCAAAAATATGTTTGCTGCCTACAGGTGAAGGCATGGATTTGAAGCCACAGTCCCCCCAAAAATAAAAATAAAAAATAAAGCCATACTCCCTGGGTGCAACCTCCAGCTCTGACACTTACTAGCTGTGTGACCTCGAGCAAGTGTCTGAACCTCTCTGAATCTCGGTTTCTTCATCTGTAAAATGGAGATAAAAGCAGGCCTTACTTCCGTGAGAATTACTTGGACGAATGAGCATGGTGTCCTGAGAACACTGCCTGGCTTCAGTCAATACATGTTAGTCACTGTCATCATCTATCCAATATATGCTGGGCACAGAAATGTGTGATTAAGAGCAGAGGCTTTGAATCAGACAGACTCAGGGTCACGCCCTGACTCCCCCACTTGCTGGTTCTGTGGCCTTAAACCAATTCCCTGATTTGTCAAAATGGGATGATAGCTGCATCATCTTCATCGGTTACAAGGGTGCAGTGGGGCCACTCAACACAGGACCCAGCACACAGCAAGCACTGATAATGTTAAGGGTAACCCCCCCACCCCACCCCCACACACACACCTTGGGCGCAGGAGCTGGAAGATGGGAGAAAACACTTTGGTCTCCCTCTTGTCTTGGGAGGGCCTCTGAGCCAAGTTTCATCCTAGGCCCTGCTGAGCACCCAAGCAAGAGGCAGACTTTTGTGCTCACTTCAGTGGTTACACAAGGCCCCATGCGTGCCCACACACACACACACACACACACACACACACACACTCAGGCTCTGTGCTCCAGGCAGAACCTTCCGTTGGGGATTCCCCCTGCGGCGGCTGCAGCCCACGACATGTCAGCTCCCATCACAACACAGGGTGGGTGGGGGGTGAACAGAAAAGGATGGGAAGGGGGCATCCCTCGAAAACTGTTCTCACCCACCCCACCCCACCCCACCTTGTACCCCACTCCCTGTAGGAGCATCTCCCATTAATCTGCAGTTTGGGGCTGTGGCCTGATGTGGCCTTCACCCTTCAGTTGCTGGAAGGGGGATCAAGAGACCTGGAGAGAGGGGTGCAGAGACAGGGAGACACAAGGGGATAAAGAGGAGGGAGAGAAGATGGACTGGCAGAAAAGGGAGGTTCAAAGACAGACAGACACTAAAGAAGGCCTCCCTGCTGGCGCATCAGGTTAAGGCGCAGCACCAGGAAGCTGTCCGTAGCCACTGCAGCACGAGTTCGATCCCCGGCCTGGGCGTGACCCACAGGGTGGGACCTCTCCTGTCTGCCTGCTGCTCCCCTCAACAGTGGATTTCAGTAGCTCTGCCTGTTGTGCTCCCCACTCTGGTGAATCCTCTCACCCCCGCCCCGCATCTCTGGCCTACACCCCAGTTCTTGTATGCATAAATAAAAAAGAGAGACTAAAGAGAAGTCTGAAAGAAAGGCAACGAGAATAAAAGCAAAGAAAGAAGAGACATACAGGAAAGAGATGGACAGAGATGGAGCAGGGACGAGAGCTGGGAGAGACACAGAAAAAGCACAAGACCATGGAGTGACGGAGCCGAAATGAGTGACAGCAGGCCGGAAGGTCCCCTGCACCAAGGGGTGCCCTGCACACACATTTTCCTTCTGCTCCCTCAAGCATGTGCTCTGGACTGGACGGAAAGGCCTGGCCTGGGAGATGGAACTCCTGAGTTCAGAGGCCCCACGCTGCACCTGCTTGACTGGGGGGTCTCTAGGGCTTGAAACCCCAATCTGTGAACCAGAAGTGCAGGGCTTTGCCTCCCACAGCTGGAGTAGAGCTCCAGCTAGAAGAAGAAGAATAGCAAGGGAGCATGTCAACTCATCGAGAAGCAATGAAAAGAGGAGAACATCTGGACAGCATGGCCAGCTGCACCCCAGAGCCTAGCCAAGGGTCTGTGATCAAGGGCTGCACCAGCTTGGGCCTCCGTGTGCTCGCCTGTAAGGTAAGGAGCACGCCCACCTCACAGGGTTGTTGGGGGTTAAGTGAGCGAATGCCCCGTACTGCATGCGGAACGGTTCCTGACAGAGGAGACACGGAGGAGTGTCAGCTTACCGTGATGATGATGATCATCATCGTGATGCTTATTAATTTATGTTTCCTCTGGCTCTCAGGGCCGGCCGTCAGGAAGTTGTCCCGCACGCATGCGCACTCACACACAACACGGTAAGTCATGTCCGTCCATGGCACTCTTCATGCGGGGTCATCTCACATGAGGAGGAAATGACTTTGTCCTGGCCCATCAAGGTGCCTAACGACCACCCACCTGAGAGGTGACGTCTCCAGGTGCCACCGGGCCAGCCTCCCACGCCCGGGCTCTGCCACCAGTCTGTGCCCAAACATTATGCCCTGTCACCACCGAGCCCTTCCAGCACTGAGCCCCTCATGACCCTGCAGAAGCCTATCGGGGTGGGGCTCCCAGCCTCCCACTGGTCAGAGCAAGCCCAGCTTTCTCCCCACCCTGACAGGCCACACTCACCTCTCTTTAGGGAGTCAGGGCCTGGGCCAGTACCTGCAAGGGAACAAAATGACCCTGTTAGTATCCTTCTAGCTTCTCTCCAGAGACCTGCCTCAGAGACTGTCTCAGCCTAGGAAGGCCCTGGAGTGGTCACCCCTCAGCCCTCTTGCTACAGACTCCCCACTGTCTCAGCAGGACCGAGGAAGTCAGCCCTGGAAATTGGGGAGACTGGGCCTCATGACTGTTTACCCTCCCCAAACAAGACTCCAGGACTTGCCCTGTGGGTCTCCGGAAGCCAGGGCCCCCAGGCCCTCCTCATCCCGGAGTCTGGGACCTCACCCTACGAACTCCCTCAAACTGCAGAGTCCCAGTCTTTAGTCCCTTCCTGTCTCAAGAGCCAGGAATGTGGCCCCTCAGCCCCTTCCTCCTTCAGATCCAGAACTCTAGCTTCACAGCCACCCCCTTTCAGAGTTCACACTCCAGTCCCTCAGTCCCAAAGACCAGAAACAGGAGGCCAGAAGTTCCCATCTTCCCCATCACACTCTCGTCACACCCACCAACGTGGACACACCCAGACCCACATGGGCCCACAACCCAGCTCTACATCTGGGTCTCCACGGACACACCAACTGTCCCCCACACACCCGCCCCGCAACTCCGGGCCCTGGATGGGGCAACATTTGTGTCCACGGACCCCAAGCTGGACCCAGCACAGCACAGGTCCTGTCTCCTGAGCCCCCCTCCTGACAGGCCAGAAGCGGGGTCAGCCTGCCACCAGGGACATGGGCACACGTGTGTGGGGCACCCCGCACACGCATGTTTGCACCCACACACAACAGATGTACGAAGGCACTGCCCAGACGTGAAGACCGAAGTTTAGGAGAACACACAACACAGACACACAACTCAGACGGAACATCCCCTCCAGGTTAACACACACAACCACACCAGTACAACTTGACTTCCCTTGCACACTCATACACACCACCGAGAAACCCATGCACCCCCTGGTACACCCAGGTACACACTCCTATAACAGGTGTATCCTGGCATGCTCACCAACACCAGGGGCACACACACACAACCTGCTCACTTGCACAATAAAGATACACAGGGGAGGGCTCTTAGGTGCCCACACACACTCATGCAACTTCACATCCCCCATGATGCACGGACAGCGACAGATGCCCAAGTGCCACTAGCCGTTCCACACTCCACTCAGGGCCACAAGGGTGCAGACACTCACAAGGCCGAGGCACACTCAGACACACAGGTACAGCGAGATCCACCTTTGCACAGCTACTCCAAGATGTTCACTCATAGTAGACACATGTTCACACAACAGCCCTGAGGTTTACACACTTACAGAGACATACAAAATGTTGTAGCACAGTAGCACAGTCAACAGATAGGCAGTTTCACACACACAATCAGGGACATAAAAATCCCTCCCAGCCCTGAGGCACCTTCACCCCACCTACCCACCTACCACCTTCCCGAACATCCCCCACCCCCACCCCCACCCCCAAAGCCAGGGCACCAGCCAGGACCAGAGGTCAGAGTTCAGCAGGTCGAATCTCGGAGGGCTGAGGGCCAGTCCTCGGGCACCATTCCCAGCGATCCTCCCAACGGCAGCCCAAAGGTCCTCCCACCTGGCCATCTGGAAGGAGGCACTCTGGCCCCATCTGCGGGAGATCTGGTCAGTGGGGGCACTGGGGTGGGTGGGTGGGGAAAGGCCGGGTCCGCATCCCTCCCTTTGGGGCCATCTGTCCACCCTCGGCCTCTCATCCCTCCATCTGTCCACCTACCCGCTGCCCATCCCCCCCACCCAGTCACCGGGAAGGGGAAGACATGGCCGTCTCCCCCAAGGACCGCTGAGGACCCCCCCAGTTGACATGGACTGGGGAGCAGCAAACTACCCTCTCCTTAGCGGCGCAGAGGCCTGGACCCACAAGGTGGGGAGCCCCAGCCCCCAGCCGGGAACTGAGGTGGACAAACGGACACACACCCTGGGAGATGTACGAGCCGCAGACACACACATAAATGGACACCCGAGCGGGCACACCCGGCTACACAGACCCTCGGATGGCCAGCCAGCCCGGACACCCACACCCAGCCAGCGCAGCTAGCCGGCGCGCACACTCGCTGGGGGGCACCAACCTGGGCACACAACCCACGCACACACCTGCACACAGCCCCTCCGATGGGCGCGCGACAGCCCCCAGACACACAGCCGGAGGGGCAGCCACTCGAGGGGACACACACGGCCAGCCGGACACAGCACCTCCGCTCGACACCCCGCACACACCCGGATGGCCACACAAGCGGGGCGCCGCACACGCCGGCGCCGGGCACACACAG